GGCATCGAAGCCCACATGGACCGTATGCTCAAAGTTCGTGGGATATGAGATGTTCGGCTTGGAGTCCGTGTGCGAGGGCTTGGAGCCCTTAATCTTGCTCTTAAGCGTCTTCTTCTTGCGATCGGCGTCGTCGGGTTCTTTGGGGGAAAAGGGAAAGCAGCACATGGTTAAGCGGACCAACGGTGTCCACATGATGCGTACAACTGTTCGAATCGTACTCACCTTTGGGCAGCGGACGCATATCGGGCGGAACATCGCCGCTGCCGCCGCCTCCGCCGACACCACCTCCCGCAGATCGCTCAATGCCACCTCGGTTGCTGGTGAGGCGCACGGGTGGCGCCGGCGGTTTGTCTTCCTCGCTGGACATGCCGTTTTCTTCTGCCTCTTCGTCTACGTCTGCCGCTTCGTCTTTCTGTTTATTCTCCTGCTTCCTCCGCCGCCTCTACGTCTAGCGCCTCTTAATTCACAGCTGTTCTAAGGCCAGAAACAGCTGTTGAGATACAGAGAGGAAAAGAGAGTGAGTCGGAGAGAATTTATCGTTAGTTCAAATATTATAAAGGCGACAAGATGAATCTCATTTTAATACCGAAAACAAATCTGTTAAATGCGGAATGGAATATTTTTAAAGTCATTAATCTTTTGTTTTTAATCATTATCACTTGAAATTCAACTCAAGACCAAGGGATTATATTCCGAATTCTAACGAAATCATTAAATAAAAAGGTTTTTGTCGAAATACTTAAATTTTGTTTATGATTTTTCTTTAAAGTTGAAAACACTCATAAAGCGATCACATTAAATATTAAAAATTACTTCTTAGGAAATGTTCTTAAAATCTGCACCAGTTTATATTCTTAGTAAACATGGTATAAAATCCACCTAATAGAACTAAAAACGGGAACACTGCCCAAGTGATTCAATCCTCTGAGTATTTCCCTGACTTTCATTCTTCTCTTATCTATCGCGAAAATAAATGTAGCGCAGCTTATCTTACTATGTATTATATATATACATTTCGTTTTTTATTTGTCGCCCTATTGCAGTCGCGTCATAAGGTTCCGCAAAACTTAACATTTGTCATAAAAGCGGCAAGGAAACGATTGTTTGAATATATATAATGTACATATTTCCCGAATATACACGGACAACGTCGTGTATTTCACAGAATTCGGCACACAATTATACAACTTTTGCCACTTTAATAATTTTTTTTTTTCGCAATCTTGGTGAAGATCACGTCAAAATTGTATGCTCTCGAATTTTTGGCATGCGAAAAACATTTTGTTTTGCTTTTTTAAAATGGTTTAGACACCCACTCACTCTCGGGGACTCTTGCAGAAGAGCAGAAATACGGCGAGAGTTATAAATTTTTCAATATCGGCCGTCCGGCGAACTGAATCGGACTGTCGGCGCTGCCTCCGCTCAGTGCTCAATGCCTTCGCCTTCCATCGGTAGGCCGCCGTCTCTCCCGCTCAGCAGTGAGTGTCACTGCCACTAGAGCAGCCGGCAAAGTGCCCCAGACGACAACAACCAGAAAAGCCTATCGCTCATAAGAGAACGGAGAATCGTAATCGTAGAGAGCATGTCTGGGAAGAATTGAGACGAAGTCTGGGCACAGTGCTTGAAAAGCGTCTTTTACTTGACTAAAAGCATCTTCTTTGGCAATCTTTTAATTGTAGAATTGTTGAAAAAATTGAATGGAATTCGCTAAAATTCTCAACAGGTTCTAGTTTGAGCCGTGAGATAAATAATAAGAGAAAAGAAATGGGTACCAACGACTTTTTATTACCAAAACTGTCCAAAGATCATGAGTTTATTTAAATAATCGGGTTTTCGGCTTAATAAAAGTGCAATTGATTCTAGATTGCTATAGCGGAACCCCACTGTACAATGTCCAACCAATTTTAACGGTACACACGGTGCGCTCTCTCCCACTCCCGTTCTGGCCCACGCCTGCGATCGGGGGTCGTAAAAAATACGATGCGATAACAAAAGTGGCTTCGATTAGCGCACGAAACAAAAACAAAGCATCTCACGCATTTGGAATTACAGCAACACAAAAGAGGAAATTAAACGCTGGCGACAACAACAAAACTTCAAGAGTGTGTGTGGGCGGCAACGCAGCCAAACATATGACCAACCTGAGAGAGAGAGAGATGTGGTGGGGAGAACCGAGAGCAAGAGCTGGGCGACGTTGGCGCCTGTCTGCTTTTGCCGGCTGACGTCGACTGCGCTGCTTTTATGATTCATTTATCAACGTCAAAGCGTTAAGAGTCAATGCAACTAACGGGAGACGCAAGGAGGCAACTGAAGGGTGTGCAGCATAGTGTGAAATTTCTGGGCAAACAGCAACAATCAGTACAGCGGTGGTCAAATTAATAAAGATTATAAATACAAATGAAAGAAGTTCCTATTAAACTGCAGTTTTAAGGAGACTTCAATATCAATACCCAACGCTATAAAAGGAAAATGTATAGCCAACAGTATTTCTTATCTGTCAGAATAGGGGGGCAATATATCAATAGCGCTGTAAAATGTAGCCTATAAAAGTGCAGGGCCTATAAATAACAATGAGATCTTACGGACAGTAGGTATTCAAGTTCGCGGACTTGTGATTCCCAACAAATATAAATAACTTAACAAACAAATACGGAAGTTAAACCCTGAATAAAAACATATCTTACATTTCCAGCACTATTAACTTGCCCAGATCTGTGTATCTGCACTATTTGTAGGTTTGTTGGCTGCTTGCCGAGAGATCTATACAGGCATACATAGGTAATTTTTCGTTTTTAGATCAAGAGGCAACAACAAACTTTTCGGGAGCGTGTGGGCGCCCAGAATTGGGTTAACGGTGTACCGCATTGGACTGCTTTTGTTTGTTGTTGGTGCTGCTGCCAGTCGAACTTCAGGTAAAATCAATAAAATATTTTTTGTTCATACTGCAGAGCCTAATGCAGAATTATTCCCTAATGAGCAAGGCACACTATACACAGACAACCACTCGCACAGGAAGCTCGACAACACTTGCGGCATTTAAATTAGTGACAGTGACAGAAGGGGGGGGACGGCGGACGCGAGGAAGAGGACTCTCGAGTGGTGCAGGCATAGAGGTGCATGTTGCAACAACGGCTGCAGAAACAACTACAAACATGGCGTGTTGCAAGTGCATTGAGTGGCGCTGCTGGCTCCAAGTGCTGAAAGAAGCCACAAGCATATGCAGACGACTTCTTCGCCATGTTCATGCGGAACAGGGAAACGCAATAACTCTTTAAAATGGAAAATAAGGTAACATATTGCTTACAAGAACTAAATGTACATAGTTCTATTGGAAGTAATTAAGGGCTTTAGACGGGTATGTTCCCTGTGAGGGCGGCAGATGAAGAGCTTTTTAAACTTGAAGTTCTTCTGCCAAATATATAGGAAACTCTGTGTTACATCTTCTTCAAGAGAGTGAAATGGAAATGTCATTATCCGCGCGATCTTCTCGATTTCCCACGCATAACCGAGGGATGGCTGGCTAGCCAGCTACCTCTCTGCGGCGCTGCGACGTTGTCTATTTTGGTTTTGGACGCCAGCCGAAAGCAGCAGGCGGAAATGCTATGCCTTTTATATATTTCTCTTTGCAGTTCCCTTCTTTAGCCACTTCCCCACGCCCGCCGACCCCCTCTCCCAGGCACCGTTGTTACCTGTGACCGTGCTAAACAAATATGTTTTTCCATAAGGAAAATGGATTGGGGGTGAATGGGGAGGGGGAATGGGGACAAATGGACATGTGCCGTTGGGGGCTAACTGTTAAATGCCAAATCGACTGCGAAATGTTCTTAGTGCTTTATGTAAATGTCTTGTGTCTTGTTTTGTCACGTTTGCTTCTTTTTTTGCCGCATTGCACGTGTGTGGGTTAACGGGAGGAGTTGCGGTGGTGGGGTCGAAGCACATGGGTCACCCTATAGGGGCAGCAGCTTGTTGACATTTTTCTCAAACATTATTTTTATGCTGGAGAAACGGGAGCAGCAATGTGTTAATCCCAAATAATGTGGCAGGGAGGCGGAAACCACTTGAATAGTTTCTTAATCCAGGGAAAACACTCACACATAGGCACAAACATAGTGTTTATGTGTGGGGGAAAAATCAATGTGTGCAACCTCCTGAGCCTGTAGCTGTATGTGCGCCACTGTGTTTGTGTTGGAAGCCAGACCAATTGGACTAACGGTGCACTCTCTTTTTATGAATGAAACTCCCTGCTCCTCCCACCATTCCCCCTCCACAAATACCTTACACTTTAACTCACTGCAGGTACACATGTATGTCTTGGTTGCGTTTGCTTGCCCGGGTCACCCTGTTCGGCGCTTGCAGTCGAAGAAGCGTTTAGAATTTATTGCTGGGCCCCCACTTTTCCGTTGGCTTCTTGAAGTTTTCCGAGCCCACAACACTTCAGTGCACACTCGCACACACACACTCACGCACGCACAACACACACTCGGTATTGTTTTCCCGTTTTCTCTTGTGTGGTGTCATTAATGGCCGACAGCAGGAAAAGCCAACCAAACAGTTCGAAAGCGGCGACGAGTCTCGAATTTGGCTTGAGTTCGGCAACGCGCGCACATTCCGCCCACTTGTTAAACCAAGAAACTAGCTTACATTATCCACGATCTCGTTAAATATAGTATGAAAAATAATTACAGAAAGACGGCCGCAGCAGACAATGTAGCGATGGCAAAAATATATCAATACATCAATATATCGATATTTTTCTATAATATTTGTATCGTGATATTTTTATCGAATATGGCTTTTGTTTAACTATATTTTTTGATACATGCTGTTTTTTAGAATCAATGAAAATGGGCATGAAGAAATCAAAGGTTTTTCTAATCAATAAATGTGCAGTCAGTTGAAATCCAATAAGAATACTTTATCGAGCTGGCAGAGCCAGTGTATCGTTTTAAGTGTGCCCAGATTGCTGAGGTGAGAAAATCCTGGCCTTTTCTGCAGAATTTTTAGCATTATACAGTTGGTAGAATTTTAATATTCAAGTCCAAACATTTAAGAAAAACATATAATTTTGTATAAAAACTCATTAAATAGACTGAAACTGCTGCTGAAAAGGGTGATCATGGCCAACGTGGAATCTATGATTGTGGAGGAGAAGCCGCAAGTTAAGCAGATTGACCGTGAGAAGGTTTGTTTTGAGGGAACCGGCGTGGGGTTGGGCGTGTTTTTCGTATATTTAAACTTGTTTCTTTAATTTCCCTGGTCTTTGCAGACCTGCCCGCTGTTGCTACGCGTATTCTGCTCGACCGGACGCCACCACTCCGTCTCGGAGTACACGTTCGGCAATGTGCCCAGCAACGAGCTCCAGATCTACACCTGGCAGGACGCCACTCTGCACGAGCTGACCTCACTGGTGCGCGACGTCAATCCGGATACGCGCAAGAAGGGCACCTACTTTGACTTCGCCGTGGTGTACCCGAACTTCCGGAACGGACACTTTCTAATGCGCGAAATCGGGGTTACCTGCACCGGGCAGAAGGGCATCGACGACAACAAGACACTGGCCCAGGCCAAATTCAGCATCGGTGACTTCCTGGACATCTCGATCACACCGCCGAACCGGCTACCTCCCACCGCCAGACGCCAGCGCCCCTACTGATGATGATGGATGCGCCGCCGATCTCTACAAACTAATAATCCTTTTTTATTCTTTCACTTGACACTCAATGAAGTATGGACATAATTATAAGTGGAATACAAATTAGAAGACGACCTACGTGTACGAGCTGCTTGACTTAAGGGACTATACTGCGAGCTGGTGGCTATCAGTTCCGGTAGATGCTGTTCGGGCGCTTCGACTTCTTCTTGCCCAGCTGCGTCATATCGATCTCCAGGCCGTTGGGCAGCACGGCGCGGTTCTCCTCGTAATTGATGAAGCCGTTCTCCTGCAGCTCCTCCTCGTTCTCGCGGGCATTGGGATCGCACTTGATTCCTGTCTCGTAGTGATATTCGCGCTTGTTGCCATCGGGATCAACGTAGCCGTAGGTGCCCCTAGGGGATGAGAATACGTTTATAGATGGATTTGGTTTTGATATCATTACGCTGTACTCACTTGGTGATGCAGTCGGTTCCGATTAACTCCTCTTTGAAGGATCCATCATCGTTTTCGTAGCCCCAGGTGATGCTTCCATCCTCGTTCTCCTCGCGCCACTTTCGGATGGTCTGGGCCACGGGTCGCTGACGTCTCTGCTGCTGCTCGCCACGCTCGTCCTGCAGTTGATTCTGGTCGATGATTGGACGTGGTTGAACGGGCTTGGGACGTGGTCTAGCCACTGGCTGCGGTGCTGGTGGCTCAGGACGGAAGGCTGCTGGTGGCGCTGGTCTCGTCCGGATCACAGCCACCCTTTGCGGCTGAGGTGGCGGCGGAGGTGGTGGCGGAGCAGCTGCCGTGGGCGTTGGTCGCTCCAAGCCGAACCTCTGGGAGTTCTCGAACCGTCCGATGCCGAAGTCATTAAAGGCGGCTGGCCGGTTCAGAGGCGTTGGAATGGAGGGGCGTTCGGCGGGGAAGCGAGGAGGAGCGGGCAGGATGGCCGCGGGCTGAGAGTCCTCGTTCTGGAGGAACTGCTGCACGGGCGATGGCTGCTCGACGGGCTGCTGGCCGGCAAGGAAAGCGGCGGCTGCCTGCTGGAACTGCGATTGCTGGGCCTGGGCCAGCTGCTGTTCCCTCAAAAGATTCGGCAGATACGGCTCCGGTTGCTCATCCTCCGCCGCCTCAGTGACTGGGCGCTCCTCAATAGCCACGCGCTGCGTCACCGCTGGCAGGATGGCGTTTTGTTGGCGCAGCGACGGTCCCGGACGACGGACCCTTAGCACGGGCTGACGGTGTGGCAGTTGGCCAGGTGATGGCACAGCTCCGGGGATGCTTAAACGCTGCGGGTAGTTCTGGGCCTCGGCCAAAGCGAGGGCGCTGCACACGAGCTGCAAGTGAATTGGAGTCATTCATTAGTGGAGGCCATACAAGGACCGAGACTGTGCCAATTGTCGGAACAAGGCAGTCAGCCGCCTTTGGCAAGAGCATGCCGCACGTGGCCAAGTTGCTCCAAGCATTTGGCTCTGCCCCTTTTTAAACGTTTTTATTTGGTAAGTTTTTTAGTTGGTTGGGCAAACGACAACGGTTTCTTAGAATTCTCTTTGACAGTTTTTTGACGGTTTTGGGGGCGGAAAACCCCAATCTTAATTGGTAAATTAATTCCAAAAAATTTGTCAATAAGTTAGCTTAAGGTTTGAAAATGTATTTGCTTTGCAAATAGTTTAATTGTGAAATTTGCGTTAGTTTTGATTTCTTAGGTGCTCCTTTTAGGTTTAATTCGCCATTAAGCTTGGTTTTACACATTCGTGAAAGAATTAGTTATTGGTTCTTTTAGTTTTAATTTCCATCTAGCATTCTTTATTTTTACTGTAACAACTTTTAATTTCAGAAAATTCAGGACTACCTTTCCAGCTTTCCGCTTCGGTGGCAGACACACACTTTTCAGGTAGCTGGCTCAACTCACACCTCCGTAGAAACTGGTTTAAAGTTTATCAACCGCTTTATGTACAGCGCCAACAATTTGTAATTGTAACGGTGTGGTGCTGCCACCAACAACAATTGTGGCAATAATGTAATGGCAGTAAATGTGGAACATAAAACAAATCGCGATTTCTGCCCCGCCTCGCTGCCGATCGATCATAAAAGCCGAAACCCAAAGCCAAAAACCAAAGCCAAGACAAGCCAAGCCGAGCTCTGAGCCAGTAACGAAACTAAAAATAAAAAAAAAAAAAATAACAGAAGAAAAACGAAAACATTTCAGACTTGCCGTCTGAGTTGCGTAATTTGCATGGCCCGCCGAGTTATGCGACTCTCTTGGCGGCGGCGGCATGTGGCATGTGGCAAACACATTGGCCAAAAAGTTTCCGGTCCGCGAAAGAAGTCAAAGTCTAGGACAAGTGACCGACTAGCGACTACCGAGTTGTTGCTTACCGTTTTTAGCCACGATCTCGGTGTTTCGGCTTTTAATTAGCCGTAGTCTTTGTTCATTACACAATTCTAAATACTCTGTGAGTATGTGGCCGGCTTATTGCCTTTGAGTCTCGCTTTCGGTTTCAGTTTCAGTTTACATCTGGCCACGGATCCGATAACTTTTTGCCCCACTTTATATATAGGAATCACTGGAGTTGGGGAAGTAAATAAAAGTCAATACGGAATTACGATTTCCATTAGAGTTCTTCACACTATTGGAAATCTCAGCTGGGCTTTGGCCAGAAATGGTTGGTCAGTAAAAGGCTATTATGTTGGGTAATATGATAATATGTGATTAAAAAATAAGCAGATTTTTTGGGTTTGGACTTTTGGACAATCCTTATATTAAGGCATACAAATACTTATTATTTTTAAAATTAACATAAAGAATAAAATGGAAATAATTTTGGCTAACAACCATGGACCAATAATTATGGTAAATAATTAAAAAAATAGATTTCAATTTTAGTAAAGATTTAATGAAATAAACGTACTATTTCTTAAGCACATAATCCCAGGTACCAAATACTAACACTTCAAATAGTTCACACAACTAAACTCCAGCATTTTTATAATGATTTTCCAATTAATATTTTTACAATTTCAACGACCTCTTAAAGTCACTAAACCCCATTATTTAATTATCAAATATTTCCCAGTGGGCATACAAATAGTCCACTGTGTGCTTTTGTCTCCCATAATTCAATTGTTCAAACATGGATAGCTTTTTTTCAGGTTTATAATCAATCGGTTCAATGAAGCCTTCGGCTCATGCAGATTTTGTTATGTGTTGCAGGCAGTCAACACATTTTTCAGCTCTTGTTGTTGCTGTTCCATTATTATTATCCATTACTTTCCTGTATTTGAGCCACTGGCCTGGCCATTCAAGCTGAACATTCCAGTGGCTTGGCTGGCTGCCCAACTACCTGGTCAAGTGAACTACTTGGCTTTATAGCTAATGAAAAGCCAGGCCAGCCAGTGGTACAGTGAGGCAAGGCCTGGCAGACACTTGCAGCCATTTATTTGGGGTGCATTGCTCGGCGGGGAACTTGATTTGGTTTAATTGCTTTCATGACTCCGCCTTGCGTCTACGTCGCAGTTCAAGGAAACCGACAAAAATTTCGAAGCCATGTGTGAGTGCAATGGAAGGTGTTCCCGTCGTCTCTCGAAACCGAACCAGGTGAGGCCAAGCCCAGGCCCCAGCTGGAATGGTTCAGATCGGTTCGTGGGCGTAGTCGCTGGCGGAGGAGCATCATCAGCGAAAAGACAACAAAAGATGATGGTGCAGACGGCCGGTGGTCCATCATTAGTAACAATAACTTGGCTAAGGACTCCTGGAATAATGGCCTGGCCTTGACTGGACAACGCTGGCTATTGACCGAACGAAATTGAAATCGAAATCCCAGGCGAACACAGAAAAAAATTGAAGAAAAGTTGCCACTTGCAAGGCATTTTTGAAAACATTTAATTGTGTTTCTTAAAAAATATACTTTTGACCTTCCATCATTTAAGAGATTTACTTTTCATTATTATTTTAATTTAAATTAAGTCAAAACTGACCCTCAATTCAAGTCTATATTTTTCGCTGTGCAGGAGTCCGAGCTCGTCGATCTGGGATAGTTGCCAGTGCACTTTCGAGCCGGCTTCAGTCTCTCGGATATGTAACACTTTAGCATGTATAAAGACTTATTTCTTATTTATGTAGGTTTATGTATATACCATACACCCGTTCATTACGTAATCCTCGAGCTCAGTGCACACTACGCCCAACTGCGTTGCCGTGTGGGCCTGTATCTGTATCTGTATCTGAATCTGCGGCAGCAACTGCATCTTGAGGTGGAGTGTGCGTGCCGAGAATTTGCATCGCTCCCTGGCTGCCTTGGGTGCGTTTTAGTGGATCTCGATTGGCCACAACTAGTTATTAACTGCGACCTTGATACACATATACTCGTAACCTGAAGCTCACAGCACAATAACGTGTCGTGACGAACTGCGCCCGAAAATAACCGGCAAATTAAGTGTTTCTTGTCATTAACAATTCATTTTCTGGTCCAAATTTTTGGCGAACTCATTAGGCCATATCCACAATTCGGCCAAGCCACAACAAGTCAATCAATCAATCAATCAAGCAATGGCATGAAAAATCTTATTAGATTCGCTAATTTATGGGGTTTTCAAGAGTTACAATTATTTAGTGGAAAAATTATGGAAGGATTGCAGCAAGGAGGCAACAGATTAGAGACTCTGTTATTAGAATGATTATTTATTGTTACGTTTATATTTATTTATTTTTTATTTTTCCGATTCTTTTTTAAATATTTGTTCTAGTTTTAAAGTTAAATTGAAGATAAAATTAAAGGTTAAAAATATCTTTTAATGCTACTTTTTCGCATTTTCAATAGGGATTCCTAAATTTCATCATCAAAAAGCAAGAAATAAAGATTTAAATAATTATCTTTTCATTTGTAAAAACAAATTTGACTTGAAAATTATTTACTCGTTAAGGAAACAAAGCTCAATTATTGTTTTATACTTCTTCTCTCTGTCTTTTTAGATTTCAGCGATTGTAGCCGCAATTAATTTAATTTATTTAATCCATTATTGACAATTTATCAGCTTTGTGCAGTGGCAAATTCCTTTCAAACAACAAATTGAACTTAAGCCAATTGTGAGTCCATTTTGCGAGCTGAGTTTTTGGGTTAATGGGTAGGGTGGAGGGAAATAGGGGGAGTAGGGGGAGTTTTGGCAGACTTAAGGTGGAGCTGGGCCTGAAGCCAACAAATGCTCGTTAAAATTTCTGACCCGAGGGCTGCCTGGGTTGGGTAATTCCTCAAATTCCTCATTCTTTGCAAGACAATTGCTGGGTGATTGTATCGCGTATTTATGATGCGAGTGCTTTTGTGCCCAGAGTCTGATCTCTGATTTTATGATCAAATGAAATGTCAGTTGGCCAACATTAATTGCTAATTGCATTGCATTGACTCGGTCACTTTCTATAAAATGCAAATAAATACGAGTAGCAAACGTCTCAATCTGCGATTGAATGCGCGTTTTTAAGCTGGCAACCGAATGACCTTCAACTAGCAGCACTATTTTTTTACGTGTGAATCATAAATGGCTTATAAACTGCTCACTCGCCAGCAGGGAACACACAGGCACTGGTTAATCCTCCGACTTACCGCGATTAGTTGGAGTTTCATGGTGGATCCGGTGGCACTGGCACTGGCTCCTCTTCGCTGTCCCAGTTTGTGGCAACACTTCCGCAAGGTATAATATATTCCCGAAATTAGTGGACTAACCGCAGGGCACTGGTTCTTATTGGCCAGACGCTGATCGCTCAAATGCTGGGCCCGCCAGGTGCGCAGACGGTTTTATAGCCGCTGCTCCGGCTACAGCTCTGGCTCCAGCTCCAAGCGGAGCTTTAGCCAGGCGCGGGAAATTTATGTGAGGCGTGTGCTTGGCATGCTTGGATATGCAACTGAATGCCTAGGCCGAAAGTGGAGCGCATCTCTCGATGAAGTAACGAAAGTGACAGGGCATTAAGCCCACTTTTTTCTTTATTTTTCGCACTCATTTGTGGACATGAGAATGGTTTGACTCGATCAGCTCCGGGAACGTGATGTAGTTTTAAATTACTTTTACCGCCTCCAGCGAGGTCCGTTAAAATATGGTTTGCTGGCAACGCTACAAATCAAGCTTTTCAGTAGGGCTAAAAGCAGACAAAGTAATGCCAACGGAGCGTATGCGCAATGGTTGTTGCCCTGGCTGAAGGACAGTATAGCAAAGTTAGCAGTGTTTCAAACCAAAAGTGTGAAAGACTTGGTTTTATAGCAACGTTTAATTAATTTTTACTTTAAGGAAAAGGATTATATTATTTTATCAAACTAACAAATAAGTTTATAAACTAAAGCAATTTTTAAATTAATTGTTTTTAAATTAAATTAAATTAAAGTAATTTATTAATTTAATTTAATTTATTAAGAAAGAAGAAGTCAGCAGAAATTTAAGTATGTCTAAATAAAGTTTTCATTCTCAAATTAAATTAGTACTTAAAAAAATTCATTAATACCCAAAATATTAGTATAAAATACCCAATTATATTATTTCACAAAAAATAAAAAAAAAACAAGAAACAAACATCTTTTTGCATATCATAAAAATAGTGCGTTTTTAATGCAATCAATGTAAAATAAGTATAAATAAAATAAAATCATATAATAGATAATGGTCGAGTGAAATGAGAAATAAAACGATTAAGTGCGGTGTGCCATGTCCCCCGTAGTAGGTCCAATATATCACAGTTTTAGGCATGTCATAACGGATAGTAAGCTCGAGTCCCTGTTGCAGTTCCTGTTTTAATCCCACCTCCGGATCATTCCACATCCTTCATGAGGCTGATGGCAATGGCGCCAATCAGGCCACTGACCCCCATTATGTTCAAGGGCAGCAGGGCGTCGATGTGCTCCTGCAGGACAATGAAAAAACAAGGTTAACAAGATTGCAAGATAATCAGTGTAAACGGGGAAAGGAGCACCCACCAGTTGCCAGAGGAAGGGCACAAGGATTAGGGCGATTCCCGAGGCCAGGTTGCCCATGCCGACGCCAAAGTTACGAACAATTGTGGGATACTGCATTGCCGTATAGGTGGGAATGATGGCGTTGTTGGCTCCTATGAGGCACTTGGCTGTGGAGGATTATTAACGTTTAGTTATTGCAATTATAATGTTAGGCAAGGAAACTATAAGGAAACTTGGGAGTACTTCTGCAAGAAATCGGAGCATTAGATTTATGTTTTCGTTGAATACAACTGTACAGTTTTAAAATCTCAATTTAACTTCTACCAAGCTAGACTTTCCCTTAATAACAGCTCAGTTTCTTGAAGTAGCTTACCTAAAACCCTTGTAAAACTCCCCAAAATAACAACTCACCGATGGTGGCCAGGGCAATCACTCCCGTCTGATTCGGCACCAGATTCGTGGCCAGGCAGCAGAGGCCCGGCAGCAGCATGTACCCGATAAGACTCCGTCGGATGCCCACTTTGAGCACCACTACAATGCTGATGCAGATGGACGCGGCCTCTACCGTACCGGCCACAGCGCTGTTGATGTACACATTCCCGCCCAGGTTGCTCAGGTGAAGGGTGAGGCCAAAGTATATAATGATCAGCGTGAGCCAGATTATCAGGGTCAGGCAGGTGGTGCGCCAGTACTTGGCGCCGAACACCACCAGCAGGGGATTTACATGGCCAGTCACAGCGGGATCTGCAGCATCCGTTCCAGCGGCACGCACCTCTTCTACTTGGCCGGCCAGCTCTGGTGGAGATTGGGGGACGACCGTCCGTGGCACCGCCGCCTCGAGGGTCTTGCGATAATTGCTGGGCAGGTTGTCCGTGGTGCCGTTCATCCGGGCCGCTCGCTCAATTAGAACGCACAGCTCATCCAAGCGGCCCTGGGCCAATAGCCAGCGTGGCGACTCCGGCAACCAGAACCTAAGGGAGGAGGAGGAGAAAAAAGTAGAGCAGAAAAAGAAGGTGGTGAGAATCACAGTCGTGCTTGGGTATTTATTGGCTGCTTGGAATTTTTTCATTTGATTTCAAAAGCGGTCAACTAATGTGGCCTATCATTCCTCTGCCCCACTTGGCACCGAAGGATAAACACTAAGGAATGTCCTGGCCATGGGTTGCTTTGTCCCTGCCGGAATCTAATTGATCCTACGCATTGTGTTGTGCTCGGTTGTGAGCTCTTTGCTGTCAATTTATTTCGTTGACTGCCTGCTGAAAATGTTAACGCTTTGAAGTTGAAATCGAACGAAGCGAACCATTCCAAGAGTTAACAACAAATGGAAACTAAAGTTTAATGTTTGTGGCGTACCTTTTCTGGTTAAACCATTTTAAGTTCAAAATATACAAGGTTTTTCCCTAGAAAACCTAGTGAAAATTTGGAAAATAGCCTTGTTTGAGACCAGGCACGGTGATATATGCGATTGTAATCAGTTTTAATAAATATAAACTAAATAAGTGTCATTAAAGTGTAATACATCAATTAAAAGCACTCATGACAATCCACTTTATTTAATAGACTGTAATAAAGGCATCCAAATAAGCATAGTTGATGGAAAATTTTTTATGAAAATATAGATTTTGCATAATTTTAACATTACCCAATTAAATAAAACTTTTTTGTTTGAATTACCTTTATAAATTTCATTCTAAAAAAAGATACTTTAATTGGCAAAACAAATGTTCTATAGAAATACTCTAATTATGCAAAAGAACAAAGGTTAAATTGCTTCTATTAATGCATTAATATTCTTGTTTGATTTCGCTGAGTGAAACCATCCGTGTTACTCTACTTTAATTAATGAAACAAACTAAAATCAAAGCAAGAAATCAAATTAAAAGACCCCATAGCAAAACTTACCAAATGCTGAGCATGATTAGCCACGGCCAGGAGATGGCCAGCTGAAGGTGCCGCCAATCGCGAATTAGATAGGCCAGTCCGGCGGAAAGGACATACGAGATGGCAACGGGCAGAATGTTGAGAATGCCGATTATGGTGCGCCACTTGCCAGAGACCAGTTCCACCACCAGCACGAAGCTTACAACAGTCACGGTCATTGATGCGAATCCAATTATAACACGTAGCGACATGAACATGGCCACCGATGTTGAGAAGGCCAAAATTCCACCTGCAAAAACGGATGGTGGTCAGCAGGACGCCGTAGAGGAGGTGTAGGAATGTCAGTGGCAAGGTCGGACACGTAAATAAGAGTGTAAAGTCAATTAAAATCCCAGCCCGGCCCACAGAGCAGGACGAATGCAAATGCAGCTG